CAATTCGTTCAGTCTTCACACCCTGCTTACTTCTCACCTCCACAAATGCTACACTCACAAAAAAAACTCAACAGAAGCTGTAAGACAGGTACAACTCAGCCACTTCTGTTATCTGCATCTTTGCTAAAACCCATCTTCATCAGCAGTTGAGGGTGAAAACCTGGGATTTGTGATAAAGCATAGGCTGAGAGATAGGCATAGATCTCTCTGCTGGCTTACACGTGAGAGTACCCCCTGAGCCAGACAAAGAACTGGAGAGGCAGCAGGGGAGTCTGGTGTATTAGGTTTGTTTAGTTACTGTGAGAGAGAAAGTGTTCCTTGGTGCTGGGTTTTGAGAGGATCTGTATATATTTCCATTTGAATTAAATATTTCTGTTATAATTGGAAAGATTAGCAGAGTTCTAATGTGAAGCAAACCACTTCCATGTTAGTGAAGGTTTGTGTTCTTCTGGCACCAAAGTGTTGGTTGAACCACAATATCTTAAAAAACCAAGAATGCAATTGCAGAGACAGACTTTCTGTTTGTCTGGAACATGCATAAGCCTTAACTGCATCTAGTCCATCAACACCTGTCTTGAAATACCTGATTTTCAGGAGCTGAATCTTCTTGGCTCATCTATGTAATATGTATTTAAGCAACAGGAATAAAATTGATACAGTAACGCAGCATACTTACATTTGTTTTATGCTAAGAAGCTTATATAAAATGCTAGTGAAAGTAATTCTGACTTCTAAGCAAGTTAGAATATTTAACCACTAAGATGTATATGAAGTGTATTTTGTCATCAGCTAGGGTTTACATTTGAACAAAACTGAGTTGAAATTAATTTAATATTGCTGGAAACTTGGACTTGTTGGATTGTGGTCAAAATAGAAATAGTTTTCCAAGATAAAATTGTAATCAAGATTTCAGCCATTTTATGTCAAGATCTCACTAGACTACTTTCTCTATTTTTTCTTTGGTTGGCTTTACCCACTGATAAAAAAGAGGAAATAGGCACTTTCTGGGTTTAGAGCACACATAGAATATGATAGGATCAGACGTGTTAGGATTCAGGTTCCCGGAAGGTTTTCCTAGTAACTAAGAGACCCTTTGAAGTCTTTAAAATGAGATTCCAAAGGCAACAGAGCATGGAAAGTCCTAAAGCATCATCCAGTCATAGTTAAAAATCCTCTTGGATAGAGTCAAAACAAACTGATTTTTCCTGCCTTTTTTCTGAACAAAAATTAACTAAATCTGGCAAAATTCTGAAACACAAATTGAAACGAAAGCAGGAGTAAACAGTGATAAGGAGTGATTTATTTTTCTATCAGAGATTAAGAGTTAGCAAATTGCCTTGTTATCTCCAAGATTTGTTCAGTCAATCTCACATTTTACAATCATGAATTCAGAAAGTGCATTTTGTGTGCCCACTTAGATTCTTTTCCTTGAACAGGATGCAGAATTTATTTTTTGTTAAAAAGGTTCAGGCTTTGGCAAGTTATAGTAAGGTTTTGTAAATGAGAAATTTTTTTATGAATAATGACAGATTTTTCTGGCTGACCTAACCTTTTGGCTGCTGCCTTCTAAGTCAGTGGGTGACTCTCAGTTCTCCCTCTGCCATTTAGGTTTCAGACTGAAAGCAAAGCTGTCAGGTGCAAATTGATTTCCCCTACTTAGTGGCGATCACTGTCCTCTGATTTGATTAGTTCACTCTTGAGTTATCACCTTTATGTCCACCAGAAGGCTCTGCTGCTTTCTGAACTGTGCACAGAACCATATTCTTTGGGTACCTAACAAGGTCAGCACTGTTGTAGACAGGATTTGGCAATTTGCTCGCACTGAAACAGCACACGTGTATTTCTGTAACTAAGCAATTAAATTCTAATGTTTTTTAGAAATAAAAATCTGATGCATACAGATTATTTATAATTGGTGAGTGAAGATTTGGTTCAGTATTTAGTTGTGATGTGAAATTTGAATCCACACACATTTGATACAGTGGCTGTTAATTGAAAACCTTAGAAATTATAACACTTTCACTATTTATGCTGTTACTTTCATAGTAGGTATATATATATTTATTCTGTAATTAGAGAAGTTTGAAATACAAAGACCTTAATTCCTCACCATCTTTGTGTCCTTATAGTTATAGTCCCAGTTGGTAAGAGAACCTCTGTGAATTTTGGCACTTGCCAGAGTTGTGGTGAAGTTATCCTTCTACAGACATTTCTCAGTGTGAAGATTGTTCTTCACAGTATTCATGCTTCACACATCATGGGCTGAAAAGAAGTAGCTCACTTGGTCTACAGAACTGTCAGGACAGCTTCCTTCATAAAGCTAAGTTATGATAAGTAAAAATATTATTTTGTTCATATTTTAGTAGCACAAATTAGCAAATTTAAAAGGGAAAAGAATTCCTTTTATTTATTATGTAAGTGGAAAATTGGGATAAAATGAGAAGAAAGCTCTTGGAGCAACACTTTTCATGTCCACTGATCAGTTTGACTGCAGCAGTTCTGGCATTCCATCCTAAGAAACAGGTTTGATTTACCTTTTACTGACTTGCAGAAATCATGGAACAAGAATGTTTGAACACACAGAAATGCATCCTTTTCATCTGTATGATTTTAAAATTACACTTTTCAGAGAAGCTGGATAAAAATAGCCTCTTTAAACTTCTAATGTTAATTTTTTTTTCCTTAGGGAAGATGTACTAGTCCAGGTGGGCATTATTTTTTTCTGGGTGTTTTGTTTGTTTTGCTTTTTGCCCCCTCATATAGTATAATTTTCTTTATGGTTATTGATTTTAGTAGAGAGCCATAGGCACATCTTCAGAAAGGCTGTTTACATCTTTGTTGAGCAAAGGATATGACAAAAAGTGTTCCCGTAACATTGTACAGTACTAATTTCTTTAGTTTCTCAGAAAACCCAGATTATCAATGTTCACATTTTTCTAGTCCTCTTTGTCTATATTTGCCTATATACTTGTTCAACAAAAGCATTTGGATGTTATTCCTTAAGATACAATAGATAAATTCAAGTTAAGATGGTGGGAACTTGCTACATACTTCTGCCAGTTTAAAGGTGACTCATCACAGTGCACATCAGTTACCAGATAAACCAAATGAAATTGTAATGGTTTTCTCATCATACTCATTGCATTGCAGAAAAATGATTGGGTTTTTTTTCCACTGCAATGTAAACGTAAGGATTTAGTGACTCAAGTTTGCCTTTCTGTAATTTGGAATAGTTACCATCACTAAATTATCATTAAGTGTTCAGGAAACTGCAAGAGACTACATCATTGGCACAAGAGGATGTGTTGTTCTGTAACGGGCTCTACAGAATGTTTATAGGTGTTATTAATGTGCTTAAGCAGAATGGGATCTTTCAGAGAACTGAGAACCTCTGCTTGAATTTGAAATAATGCTAAATTGCTAATGAAGTTTCACTTAAGCATCGTGGAACTAAAAAGCAACTCTGTATAATAAATTACTTAGCTCTAGATGCTGTCATAATGTGTTTGTAAATAATAACAGAAAAAAAATTGGTACTGTGAATATTCATTTATCTGCATTAATTCTGAAGAATCAGTTTCAGCAGTCAGTAACACGTTTTCCAGTGATTTTTTTTATGGGAACAACTTCACTTCAAAACTAGTCCAATGGATCTCTATTGTAGCAATGCCCTTCTGAAACTCAAAGGGAGTCTTCTTGAATATGGACCAAATAATTTAGTTGGCTGCTGGCCATGTGTTGTCTTTCAGAGGAATATGGTTATTCACTACGTAATAGTGTAGGAAGAAAGGAGACATATGGAAACAAATTTTAAAAGAAACAGTAACATTAGTCAATGCAGTTTTAGCCACACAAGTTGCCAAGCTCTTAATGTAGTCATGGAGCGAAGGAATAAATTATGAAGCCCACTAGCCAGGCGCGTAGCACGCGAAAGTGCTGCTCTGTTAGAAAACAAGCACTCAGCTTCAGCTGAAGGCTCAAACACACTAACAGTTCTTGAAGTTTGATTTATGCATTTCTTTTGCTGCTATTATAAAAAGCACACTATTATATACAAGAAATTAAATCATTTTAAAACAGCATTCTTGGGAATATATTTGTCCTTTTATTTGTCTCTAAACACTAGACCAGCATGTCCCTGGCCCCTTTTAGTTATAATTTTGTTTTGAAATGTGCAGTATAATCCTACGTATTTTCCTGTTGCATCTTAATAAAGTAATGCCTTTTCAAGCAGATGCCATGTTTCTCTAAATAAACAATACATTTGTAACAACACAAAAGTGGCAAAAACAGTAACTGTAAAAATTTATGTCTTCAAATATTAATCAAAGATTATATAGGTATTTGTGTGGAAGATACATATTAGTACAACAATTAATTTTCCAGATCAGAATTTGTGTTCACTACAGCTTCATAAAATATTGTATGTCCATTCTCTCTAGATGAGTCATGGTTTTGGAAGAAAGGGGAAGAATATTTTTTCAGCATTATGATCATTGTAATAATGAACTGCAGAAACTATAATAGATTTTGTTCCTGGCTTGGCAAACTAAAAGATTTTGCAAGACAGTTTACATAATTCTTTCCATTGAACTTTCTAGTATTTCTGTGTTTTAATTGTTAACTCAAACACACAAAACTTGTAGGTAGTTTGTGCTCCATATAAATGTGGTTTAATGTTTCAGGAGTACTTTATGAGGAGAGTTGGTGGCTATACATTTTTGTACATACAACCTTAGTTCACTTGTTAAAATAGGCTCTCTGTTTGCTAATAGTTCCCAGCTGTAACTAATACATTAACAGATCTACAATGCAGTATTTAAAATGACGCATTTCAAAATCAATAGCAAATGTCCTGCTGTACGATTAATTGGAAAACTCGTTTCACACAATGGTCAGTACACCATACAAAACTCTTTTGGAATTATGGTAAATCAAGGAATAGGAAACAATGATGTGTAAATTTCTAAAAACTTAGAAAAAGCAAAAATAGTACTTACTGTAGTTGTTGTTTGCTTCTCTTGTCCCTTTCACTTTGCCTCTTTTATCAATCCTCATATACCACTGAGTTCGACAGAAAAGTCTTCTCACTCTTACATCCCCCCCTTCCATATAATCATAGCTTCTGGTATGTCGCTCAGGGCTGGAACAGTTCACATTTGTAGCCATTTGCTCTGGAGTCATGTCATTGCAAGCTAAAGATATAGTGCCCATTAGAAAGATAATGTAAAAGTATGATCTGTAGAGCAAAATTGGCAGGATCCATGTCAGTATCCATTTGTGCATTATAGTGCAGTGTTCTGGGTGTTCATGAACAACATAATGAAAATTAAATCTCAAGTAGACTGTTGCTCTTAGGTCACCGACCTGCCTTCTGTCTTTACGAGTTACAGATTCATTTAAGTGAGATTGCTCCCTCTTCTAGAATTCTGATCGTTATTCCTTAATAGTTAATGGCGAAATAGAAGAGCTTCTTAAATATCTCTTCAGTCAGAATATCCTTTAAAGACACAAGTTATAAAAACCTTTGTTGTTGTGACCTTCTTTACTACTTGAATTTGCTGCTTGCACTGAAAGTAAAAGATCTGTGAGAAAAGGTGCATGTGTAAGTCTTTATGCTCAATTGTTACAAACGTGCAAGGATACATTATGCTAATGAAAAGTACTACACAGAAATACATGACATGCTGAGCTCATTTTAAAAAACATGCTAGTGCATATACAATAGATATCTCTCATACAACTTTTTACATAACCATACATTTACACTGATTATAAACACAGTTCTCTCTTCAGTTTTAAGTCCTTCCAAAATCTCCTATTGATTCATTTCAACTCTCATGAATGATAAAATTCTCCTCATTACTTCATAACTATATATTTACTTTAGCACAATCTATAATATAACTTTTCTCTAGTTCAGGTTTCAAAATAGATCTCATGGCTTTAGCCCTCTGATTTTATTCCTACCCTTTTCAGTTTATTAGTAGAAATAGTTTTCTTAATTCTTTTCTTAGCATCTAGCATATAGAAAGAAAAACAAGTTATTAGCTGTTAGAAACTGTTGAATAATCTTGTAAAGGACAGATAACTTACTTGTTCCTGTTGATAAGAGCTGGATACCCAAGTACTCCATTTCTGTTGTCTCCTTTTTGCAACATGAGACACTCTACTGTAGCTACAAACTTTCTCAGCTCAGAAAGACTCCACCAGAATTATAATTGTTTCCATAAATCAACAGGCTGGAGAGATGGTGTGTATGTGCTTATGCGTGCGCGTGCATGTGTGTGTTGAGCCCGTTCAGTCCTTTTCGATAAATACCTTTGCTGACCTCACTTGGAAGCAATTAGAATTTAACCAGTCAGCTGTCAGTTGAATGCACGAACAAAAGTAAAAGGAGACTTGCATTGTATCGTGTCCAATGGTCATCAGAGGGAGCTATGTACATAGTTTATGGTTTAAATCTCCAAGAATCTTCTTTCTAAAAATGTATATTTTGTGCTGCATGGATAGAATTGCTTCACATGCTAGTTAGTGTTTCTGTGCTCTGATTTAGGTCAGTATTCTTATGTCCTTAAAAAATTCCTCCTCCTCTCTTCTGTACTCACATGCTTATCTCAGTGTGCTTTCAAATCTCTTCTGCAGTTTGGTGGATTTGTAGTCTACTTAGTGCCTTTCTGAAGGATATATGAAACGTGGGTCTGTTACATACCATGGAGAAGGGAGTGCTGTAGCCCTTAGAAATCACGAGGTATATTTTTATACCATGGATTTGAAAAGAGGGACCACTGCATTGAGGTTTTATTTCATCAGCCACTAGGCGAAAATGAGAAAATATATTTGGATGTTTCAAAGTCTGACATTCAAACACAACCTTTATCAGCTTGAAGGAAAAAACTGCTACCAGGGAACAGCCTTTCTTAGCACATGTAGTTAGTTCTGGAAACTCACAAAGGGAGGATGAAAACTGGCAGCAATGTTAGAAAACCCCTAATACTGCCCACCAAGCAATGGGCTTAAAATCTAGATAATCAAAATAATGAGTGGATTTTCTGTTATTCACCTGGTTTTCTGTTTTTGTGTACCTGTTTCCCTCTCTGACACCAGTCTGCCCATGTTCCATTTCACCCTGAAATTCTGTTGAGTTTCTGGTGAGTGTACTTGTAAAACACATTGAAGCAATGCTTTCAGTACCTCTTTATCCTTTTTAACTACCCCACTGCTGATGTGAGCACACCTCAGTCCCTTTAGTAAGTAATATCAACAAGGAAAGTTGGGAATTAATCCAGTTATTATTAATAGTTTACTTATGTTTAATAGTTTCTGCCTAATAATATAATGCAGTTTGTCATTCCACGCTCTTATCCCATCCCCGGTCCCTTCCTCCCTCTTAATTAAAAATCAAGTGAACTGTAGAGGCAGTTAGAAATCTCGGGGAGTACATATGTGCCACCTTGTGGTGAGGGGGACATAAGTAAACAGGGTGTTTCACTGGACTGATCCAAAATTAACGAAAAGGTGCACCAGGCAAACTTGTAGTACTCAGCCTTTCCTATACACAGAGAGAAAGAGAAATTTCCTTCCTTAATATCGACAGCCTCCCTGTCAGCACTCACATGGATCAGTCCAATTTGTCACTTGCTTTTTAACCATTTTCACATGTAGTCCAAAGTTGATAGATTTTTATGGTTGCTATCTCTATTTCAGCATACGGGGGCTGGTTTCTGTGTTCTGTAGCTCATTTTCCTACTTTGGCAGGAGGCTCAGTATGTGCACCTTTCTGATAGGAAAGATGTGCTGCTGAGGGCTTTCAAAGGCTGATACCTGCAGCTGTTACACAAAGAAGTGGCTGTTGTTAGTTAACTCCTGTAAACTGTGATCACACCTATCTCCAGTTTGACTTCTGGCTGGTTGACCTGTGTCACCATTCTGACAAGGAGTGGGGACTGAAGTGACTTATCCCAGTTGTGGCTTTTGCAGTACGTTTGCTGCGTTTACATCAGCATGTTCTCTGACCCATTCCACAGTCTGAATTCAGAATGATAGCAATGAAAAAAATTTGTGGTATTCAAAAGGCTTATCTCTTGTGTATTATAAAGAAAGCAATCAAGGATAAAAGGTAATCTGTGTTTTACTCAGCAAAATAGGATGCAAGTAGAAATGTTTTTGTAAATATTCTGGGTCTTTTATGTTCAATAACAACCTGCACTTTCAAATCCGTACTGATTTTAATTTTTCTTTTTCCTTGCTAACTTATTGTTTCTGACAGTTAGTACCAGGAGAAAAAATACATACCTGAGGTTTTGGTTCCAGAAAGCTGGAGCTATTCATGGTCCAGGCATAGGCATGTATTTCTCTTGGCTCTGAAAAATAAATCACTTGCTGTAAGTGAGTTTTCTTAAGTGGCGCCTCACTTCAGATCTCTGGAAACTTTTGTAGTTAAGAATAAATGAAAAGTGGCTTAGATAAGGCACTAGCTCTAATTTTGGCTGGTGAACAATGCAGTTACTCTTTAATTATTGCTGCTAACATTCATATCCTTGTATTTTGTAATTATAGAATAATATCTTTCCACTGTGCTTTAGCTGCAGTTTTCTTAATTACACATTTTTATGTCTTGCTAGACAACAAGTCCAATTCTGTTTCTTTTAATGGAGGGATGCTGTCTCACTGTGCATGTGTACATCAGGCTTCTCTGCATGTGTTGCTAAGCCTCTGAATGGCCCAACATGCTTCTGATAAATCAAGCACAACTAATATATCTCTCAAATTAAATTGGTTTATGTTTAGAGAAGATTTATCTTAATTGACATTTGGTTCTCTATCTGTTTAACAAAGTGCATTCCCGGTCTTTGCATTACAATCCCAAGCAAATCTTTAATAATATATAAAATTTTTCCACCTGAAATGCTTATGACTCTCTGTTTCTTTGGTGATGTGTTCAGGCTTCAGGACCACAGGAAACATGGAATGTACAATATGCACATACTGTAAGCCATCCTTTAATACTTAATGCATGCATTGGTGCTTCCTTCTTCCTGTTGATAAGAGTTTTCCACAGCATTGTTACAGTGCACTTACTGAGAAGGAAACTCGAAATTAATTAAAAGCACTTTGCTTCTGATTCTAAAGATTGTGTATTGGTCTCCAGTTAAAATAGAACTCAATAAAGATTATTCCCTTTTTCCTTACATGGGAAAACATGACCACAAGCACCCGTGCTTTCTTCCTTTCAGATGAAAACATGACCACAAGCACCCGTGCTTTCTTCCTTTCAGATGAAAACATGACCACAAGCACCCATGCTTTCTTCATCTCCAGGCTGGCCTGTTCCAAATTTACTGCCCAACTGTGGCATTGGGTCATGAATGTGAATTTAAAAAACCTACATTTTATCCAGTTTGCCTTAGGGCAACACATCACTGCTAAGAAACTTATCATTCTCTTCCCTCTTATTTCCTGATCCATTTCAAATTTGCTTTAGAACATCTTCCAGAATTTCCAGTTTAAGACAGTAGGAAGATAAAAGTCTCTGTATCTGACTTTAAACCCGAGATCTTGGGTTTTAATGCCCTGCAGCAATAGCTAAACTGGGATTGGAAGGTCCCAGGAAAAAATACCGCAGATGTGAAGGTGCTAAATATTCTTGTGGTTAAATCCTCATCCACAGTTTCCAGATCTCAAAAATCAGCATCAGATCAAGGCTGACTGTTACTGTGTGCAGAAGATACAAGAAAAGTGTTACAGTTTGAGCAAATCTTTGGTCAGCATTGCGGTATCTGAGAAACACAGCAACATGTGTGGAAAATATACTCATATAATGAGGCAGTAAAAACAAGAGAGACAGGGAATATTGCACTTCAGTTTGGATTTATCTTTTCAGGTTGTAAGGCTGAGATTAAATACTGTAACTATGAATCCTTTGTCTCCCTGACTATAAGAATTTATTTTTGGTTTTGGTAACTGGTATGGGTTATTAAAATCATATTGAAAAGACAACAACAATTTTTTCCTAGCAATTTTCAAAACAGATCTCTTCAACAAAATTCCTTTTTTTGTTTCCTTCTATTCATCCAGATCATATTGAGCTGATTTAAATTTACAGGAAGAATTGAATGGGATGCAGCAGATACTTGGAAAAAAACTCCGTTCAAATGATCAAATAGTTTGACTGCTGCATAACTAATTCCTTTTCTTTTAATTAGTTACAGCAAATGTGTTTTATATAACTTATTTTAGGGAAAATGAAGGCTGGGAATACCTTAGCTCAGTCAATAGTGAACATAAAGATAAATCCATCCAGGCTTTTTTCACTTGGACAGTGGAGCATCATGATACTGACTTTTGGAGGCGATAGAATAAAACCAGAATGCAACAACAGCCAGATGAGTCCTTCCTTTCTGAATGGAATGGTTATGTTAGAGCTTCTTGTTATTCATAGCTTAATAACCCTCAGCCTCAGGAGATTCTACTTGTGATGACATCAGGACACTCAGGCTATGTTTATCACACTTCAGATATTGATGCAGAATTGTAACAGTACATTTTTGGTGGAGATATAAAAGCACAGAGCTGATATGAGAAAATACTGAGGAGACCCATTTGGGTCATCTTATTTATTACCAGGTATGATGTTCAGAGGTCTCTCTTCTCTTTCTCAAGTGATCCATACATTTGTAGTCAAACTTTTTTTTTACCAAAATACTTAACCATGCAGTGATTTCTTCTGCCTGACTTTAAATATATTCTTTTTGCAAAATAAATAACTTGCAACATCTTTTTATGTACACAGATGATTGGATAAGAACCAGCTTTAAGACCTGGATTTGTGGAATCTGTGTGCTTAGAGTCACCTCCTACAGGTGTGATACATCCAATATCTACTACCTCTGTTGCATACTGTAGGTGTCAAAATGCTCCTGTGATTTATTTCTAAAAACCTGGGCTTACATATATACACACATACACTGAAACCATCCTAATGCTGTAAAATAAAATGCTCAAAAGGCACAAATTCCAGCTATCCATCTCATGCATTCATCAGGGGGGAAATTATGAAGAGAACAATAGTGATAAAACTTAGTCTGTATCATGGTACATACACACTCAACCAAACCAGTGCTTATCAAAGTAAGCTCTTAGCATTTCTATATAATTCAGTGGGTCCAGGATTTCACCCAAAATTTAATGTAAATTCCTTCTTTATGGTTCTCTATTATTTATGAGTGTTGAGATTTAACTTGACATTTTTTTCAGTGGCAGGTTAGTACAATCAATGCAACAAATACAAAATAACAAAAG